TTGTAATGAACGGCTCTCACGCCGAATGCCAGATGTAAACCAAGCTGTAAAACCGCCCAATATTCACAGACGCCTTATTTTTCTCTGCGATACCTTTAATAGCTGAGAGTAATATTCTGACATCCATTCCCGCGTCATGTGCGACAGCTTAACACAATCTCTGAATTTCTGCCACCTATTCTTGCTGGCGTTCTGGAATCCGGCGTGTCACAACAACAATCGGCGTCCATGTCTCTGGCATCGCCGCCCGGCTCGCGTGGACCATTTCCTCAGCGTAAGCACCCTGAGCCGGTGATGACGACATCGGCATGTGACGACCTGCTGCGGCCCCAGCCCCGTCCGTCGCCGCGCCGAGAATGCCGCAGACCCGACGGCCGGGCGGCGCTCGTACCGTTCGGAGAAGGCGCGGCGGCAGCGGGACCGGAGCCGGCTCACGTCTCTGTGACGTCACAACAGCCGGCAGCCGCCGCTCGTTTGGCAGGAGTCCTCGTGACGGGGCCGGTGTGGCTGGCCGGGCGGCCTGGGGGGCTGCAGACGGCTTGCAGGGCAGCTGCCGCATGCTGCAGGACTGCCGGCAGTGCGGTGCGGCCAGATGGCCCGGTGTCGGGCTCGGGCGGGACAATGGGCTCACGGGATCAGGGTTGACCATGGTGCTGTACATGGAGATGGTTCCTTAGAGGGGTCGCACCGAAGCGGCTGTTTGCACATGTGACATTATTTTATGGTAGGGTGGGTCAATGGAGCAAGTTTACTGCTCAGGCATTTTGAGCAGCTGCTTGTACTGGCCAGTGAGAGTTGTACCGTGAAAGTAAATGTGCTTCGTATGCATAGCTTAAATCAGATTTCGAAATGATTAGATCTGGGGTACTGACAAGGGCTTCAGTTTTTCCGTTCCTTCCGTTCGACGGTCTTTTGACGGATCGGTTCTTGCCTTTGAGCAACAACCGGACTTATACGCATAAAGGCAATAAACATTGTGCCTGTGGCCTTATATGTGCTTGGCACGCCGAAGCCAAAAGCGATTTATTTTAGCTGCCTCATATTCAGACTAAAACGCTCCAACTTCACTAAGCCGAAACTGCACAAAGCCCTCCAGAACAGTGTGGCATTTCTGTATAGATGGCAGCATGCCTTAAAACTTTCTGCTGCGCAAGAAAAGTGTTTAAACAGACAGCATCCAACAGCATTAATCGAACCATGTAATGGAAGCAAAGATCATAGAGTTTTTCACTGTATGTAAAAGTACTGAACTTTAGCTTTCTGTGATGTTTTGCTAAATTCCGTGCGTTCCATCGTTGCGATCAAATATTTTGCTATCTTCAAGCGGCGATTGTTGGACACATCGACGAATCAATTTTTAAGGTTATAAAGCTGTTTGCCATGAAATATGATACCTTCGTTATCTTTACATGTTACATGATACCTTTATTAGTCTGGATTTTAACATTGCGTTAGCATGCCGGCGGTGGTTACTGAGCGAACACTAAGCAGCGTGCGGGTGCTCATCAAACGCAGTTGTCCATTGGCTCCAACTCGTCAACAACATCGCGTGTATGGAGGGTGGAGTCCGCAATGATTGTGGCCGCTTCGGTTTATGAACTCTATAGAGGGTGTGGCGGCACAGATTATACGCCGCTTTGACTGGCATGCCATCAGTATGCTTAGTGTACCGCAGTGGGTTAGGGGGCTGGAATTCAAAGGTTATGATTGAAAAGCATTGGGCGTCATTAATGCCGTAGCCCGCTGCGAGAACAGCGTGATGCACGGATGAGTGTGCACCCAGCACTGGCACGTCTTACCGTGCCATGCCGTTCACAACCCTGCTTAAAAAAAATGCGAAATGGTTGAGAAAAAGACGTAATTCACCGCAAACCAAAGGTGCTCTTTAGACTGTCAATATTTGCCGCCGGTTCATAAATGCATTTCAACCTTTGCTGAGATCTCAGACACTGAAATAAGCTCGAAACAATATGTGCCATATGATTGGCCTGTTGACCATGATTCCCCAAATGAGGTTTGCAATCTGCAGTTATAAGCGAGCCATGTCTGTCTCCCACCGATCGCTGCTGACAACGCCTCTGTCCAGACCTCGTCGTGATGCATCGCATTTAACATTTCTGCTGTCATTGCCGGGTGGCTTGCGGCATAACCGACCTATGGGAAGCCATCAACTCAATCTCAGTGCATTGGTGCAGTGCCCAACAAGTCTGGTTCCTGGCTCACCATCAGCATACAGCAACCTCCACTCAGTGGGCCAAACACGCCGGCATACCCGGGGCAATCGGCACCTATTGGCCGCTTCCCATCCGCTGGAATACGTACCCCGGTGCCTCTCGCGCCATGGCCCCCGAAGCCCCCGGGCTGGCAGCCGGCTGCTGGCGGTCTGCAGCCGATTATATCTGGGATCTGCCATCTGGGAGTGACGGCTTCGAGCTGACCAACACCGGCTTGCAATGCAATGGTTGGATAGGCCGGGCATGACCACGCCATCACCACATCGGCAACGTCACGGCCATCTCGCCGGCTGGCTGCACGTTGCGCCAGCCGGCCGGCTGAGCGCAAGATAATAGCAGGCTTCAGCGGTGCTGTCGACCAGAACACAGCGCTCCGGACAGAGTGCTGCGCTGTCGACATCTCGCCGTCACGTCTCGGCAGGCGGCGCGTCCTTTCAAGTCTTACGAATGGCAATCGCGATGCCACTGGTCAGAGGTAGTTCACAGCGCCGTTAGCCAAGTCAGCAAAAACCCAGGCGTCAGTTATTGAACTAATCATAGCTGGTGCAAACCGAAACCCTTGTTCTTTTTCACGCGCAGGTTTAACTGGGTTTGCATCATTGAATGCTAAGCTGCATATGCCCATTCAGGTAAAGTATGCGTAGCGTTTTATTGCGGATGTCTCTTGCTGAGCCAAGCACTGGGGGTGAAACCGCTTCGTCTGATGTTAAGTCATGACCATGATTTCAACTTTTGTTTAGCAAGAAACGACGACTGAGTACATGGTTCTGTGTTAGGTATAAATATCCAATATCAGAATCGTGAAAAAAACGCGACACAGGAAAAACCTACACCCCTGTCCGCCAAAGTCGTGAGGAACATTGCAGAAGCTAGCAAAATGGTTCCATTTTGTTGAACCGCAGGACCTTTTCAGCTCATCTACCCTTGCACACCACTACAAAAAGGCTTTGTTTCAACTTGCCAGCGAAGAGACCAGCTCCCCGGCTGTGCCCATAACTGACCAGTCCGGCTCTTGGTAAGTCGTGCTGACGTCTGAACTGTCGGCAGAGAGCCCGATCTTTGGTCAGATTGCAGGCAAAGAGAGCCCGATATTTGGTCAGATTGCAGGCAAAACAGAACACGCAACCATGCTTATCCATGAAGAATGTGCAAACCATATTGCATGTGGGCATGGGACTATCACTGCTAAGGCGGATTCTCAGCACATATTACGAAATTCACAGCTTTAGATGCAACTGATCCACTCCAGAAAAGTGAAGCTCGAAGTCAGACCAGTGGGTTTTGGTCCTGCCCCTTATCTAGAGATTCCTGAGGTGTCAATAATATTACTGGTAGGGGTTAAGCACGGGGCGCCTCAGAACTACGACGTTCTACGAGCAGAATTTATTCTTAACTATGAAATATGTGTGGATTTGCCTAATCAAACACTGCTCTCCAGTTGTTCCCGGGAATCGGCTTTATGCAGTTTCACAAATCGAAGCCCCTCAAAGTTCGCCCTGATAGGGTTCGATGTGACCACGCCAAAGGTTTTCTGAGAACACCTTTTCGGCATGACGTGCAATCGCTTCCAAAGTTTCATTGGGCTATGGGGCATCTATTGCGCGTGTTTTGACACCAAAGACGTGTAGATGTCTGGTTTCGGAGCAGCGGCAGTTTTTTAGGAACACTGCAGGGCGATCTGCGGTCTGCGCAGACGGGAGGACGGCACCCTACGATGCTGCGGAACACTCGCGGCGGACCAACATTGGTATACTAATAGAGACATATATGCATAGATGCATGGTTGAAACACAACGAGATATACACCATTGTACTCCGAGAAACACGCCTGTTTAGGTTTATTGTCGCTACGAAGGCATGGTCTCGTACATATGAACCCATAAAGCCGAAAAAGCTCAATTTTCGGCAAGAATTGACCATTGACCTTGCATAATGGGGTCAATTCTTGACATAGCAGCATAAAACCTATTACCAATTGCGAGAGCTCATTAATACTAATCCACTAGTGCTCAGGCCGTGTTAGGAAAAACGCGTTAGGAAAAACGGCAGGCTATGGGGGGGGGGGGGGGTAAATGTTAGAGGGGAGTCGGGGATATATGCGCGATGGCCCCAACCTGAATTGTTCCGACACAGTTTCCTTACTTTGGTTAATCAAATGATACCAGGAGACTCTTGTGTCTTGCGACCATCTCGTACCCCCCCCCCCCCCCTCCTCCCTCTCACTTGCATTCGTCACTTCTGAGCTTGGCAGCATGTCGCCGAACTTTGCAGTCTGTAAAACCGGCAACTAAATTACCGCTTTTGGCGCACATACCTGCTGATAGTCGCCATCAGCCGCTGCAGCCTGAAACAACTAGCCGTGAGCGAGTCGACGCTGCTGTGCAATGTACATGCATCCAGTCGCTAGCCCACTTGCATCTCACTGCGACGACACCATATCCCTCTCAGTTCGTACCTCGCTGAGATGGTGATGTTGGGAACCAAATCCAAGTTCAACCTCGCGGTACATGAGCTATTCAGTCAAACCTTATCTAAAACGCTCACACCTGCAACACTCCGGAATACACAGCACCCCAGAGGCTGCTCTAAAAACCTAGCTCTATACCTTGGATGTGCGTTCCCATGATAGACTGTCACTGCTGGCCAGCACTGCCATTGTGTCATGCTACCATTGTGCCACCTGATCATCTGCAAGCGTTGTCATCAGATATGTTCCGTTCCCCAAGCTCCCTCGTCTGCAGCTGCTGAGTTGGGTCGTTGTTTCAGCTGGGAGGCGGCCAGCTGCTGGACGCTCAGGACTTTGAGCCCACGGTGACGGCCAGCTGCGACGCCAGCATGATGACCATCCTCGTGCGCACTGAGAAGCCCTTCTTCGGCGTCATCCACGGCAAAGACATTCGCTCGGATGCGTGCACCCAGTACGGCGAGGGTGGCTCCGAGACGAGGATGAAGATCAACCTGCTGGCCAGCGAAGGCGACGCAGACTTCTGCGGCGTCAAGGGCAGCAATGTGAGTACCGTTCTCGTTCTCCGTCCGTGGGGGTGGCGACACGGGTTCTCGGGGCTCTGGTCGGACGGCTCGGGTCTACGCAGGCAACGCCGACCAAAGTAATGACGTTGTAAAAGCGTGCCGCATGAAAGTCATGCTGCTCCCTCGGCCGTCACGGTCATGTTCAGAGGGAAGTGTGTGTTAGGACTTGAGCGTTGTCCTTCTTAAAGCCTACCCTCTGTGGCGATGGAAATGTTACAAAGTTCTCGCTTTGCAAAAGGCTTCTTTTAACGTTTTGAGATGGCCTTGCCCAGATGAGACGAATATGTTTCAGGAGAATATCAATTTGAGTGTGGTAACTTCGAATGTAGGTTATTCCTCACACGAATGACAATTAGTCTGAAGCCATCTACCGTACGGTAATGATACACTATAATGTGACGCAACACCCCCCCCCCCCCCTAACGAATGGATCAACTGCCCGAAGATAACACACCTTCGAAGTTGTACAGATTGCTTGGGATTCATTCCACACCAAGCGATGGCACCTAGCACTGCCGACGCCACAGGCTTATTCCCAGTGCGATGCTCATCAAAGTTGAATAGAGGCTTAGAGCATATTTCAGCCATGAGTGTGTTCTAGGGCCTCATGATGACGTTCGACGCTGGCACGGCTTCTACATTCTTGTTCTAGGTCTTGGTTCTGGGCAGGCTCGCCGTTCAGGTTATAAGTCTGTTCTGGGCCGGCTCGATGTTCAGGTTATAGGTCTTTGTTCTGGGCAGGCTCGCCGTTCAGGTTATAGGTCTTTGTTCTGGGCATTCTCGCCGTTCAGGGTAGACGGTTATCCTTCCCATTTTGTAGCCCCAACCATTTGATTACATGAACACGAAACCGTGATTGATAGCATCCTCCTCGCGCCATAAGAACGAGATGAACAGAGCTGGCTGCCCGCGTTCGCCGTTACCCCGGTCGCCCACGTCGACGGGCTGATCACACCGCCCATCCTCTCTTCAGAGGACCGACGACCGCTCAATACCGATCGCCGTGCGGTTCCACAAGAAGCTGGAGGTGGCGGAGGACAAGCTGTACGTCATCACGTGCGGCAACCCCGGCTTCAAGAACTCCAGGTGAGGACGGCGGCCAGCCCGCAATGGTGACCGCTACGCGGCACGAGACGAGGCGACTTGTCCCGGTTTGAAAGCAGACAGGAAAGCTCAGAAAAGCTACAAAAGGGTGGTCGGCTTTTTACCAAGTCAGACAAGCTAAAATGGTGTTCGAAATCTGAAAGACTGACTGCCTGCGACAAGGTATCCCGAAAGAACTGCGAAAAAGGTGCTCGTAGATACGTATTGTGTATGTATGCACGGTCATGAGGTTAATGTAGCATAGAGGACAGAACAAACACAAGAGTCACACAGGTCCCCAAAACATCATGACAATGTAAAAATTGGCTGCTTTATGAAGCCAGACTTGCCCTGGCCGTGTGGAGTCCTCCAATAGCCACCAGATAGCTCCGTGATCATAATCGAATGCCACTGAGCAATGAGCACCTAACGGCGCGTTGGTTTTGATTTGGCAGTTTACACATTACGGATAATGCAAGTACAGACATACTAACAGCATCTCGCGTCATGCAGCGCAGGACACCAGTCTGGGCTCCTAGCTTCGCCCGGCCGCTGACACGCCGCTTCCTGAAGGCTGTGTCCGTAGTGCTACACAGCCACCCGACGCTGCAGTCTCCCGCGGCGCCGTCGAGCCGTCGGGTGATATAGTCCGAGATACCGTTGGGTCACGCATTAGGGTTACTCAGGCTCACGACGGGATGCATTTCTCCACCCGCCTAATAATACACATTACGGGCCGTCGGGGGCTGCCAGTGGCGCGTCGGCAGCGGGCGGCGGCCGGCACCGGTGGCTGCGCTCGGCGTCTTCTGAGGCCGCCCGGCGGGCCTGGACGCCGGCCGACCCGGCAGCCGCCGCCGCGCCGCCGCCGCCCCCGTAACGCCGTTAAGTGGCGCGTAACGACGCACCGGCAGCGGCGGCGGCCGCCGCTGGGGTAATGGATCAGCGCCCGTCGGACGGACGTCATTACAGACGGCCTGGCGGGATCCCCGACTGAGCTCGGCGCCGCCACGCAGGGCCGGCCTGGTCCAGTCGAGTCACTCGAGCTCAGGTGGACTTCGTCAAGCTGGCTAAAAGTGTGGGATTTCCGTGAAATCCAAATCACTGCTAGCGAGTGGGGAGCTCCGATAAAGACACTGGTTGGCCGCTAAGTACCTCGATTAACCTCAGTCTCTGAGAATGGCTTCCTTTGTACGCTTGCTTTTGGGCTATCGTTTATTAGCTCAGAAGCAAAGGTCCAGCCAGAACGGAGCCCACTCACAAATCCCATGTCACGTGGCACATGTCACGCCACCATATGCACGCATCCTGCTCCACGCTAATAATAGAAGGTTGATGCCACCCAGGCAATAAACCTACCGTGGCGACGGGTGGACTTCTAGTCTAGTTCCGTCACGCCTATAACCCCCGCAACTTTAGTATTGACTGGGTGAGCCCACGGCCTCTGGCGGACTCCAGATGGCTCCCGTCTGAAGACGGCTCCAGATGGCTCCCGTCTGTGACTCCCGAAAGCACATCGGTCCGCCTCGATCGCGCCGACTCGAGTCAGGCCTGCAGCAAGGCCGTAATTACATGGGGTCGGCCCCGGCCACGGAAACTGTAGCATGCTAATGACACCGGCGGAGGTGCGCCCAGGCTGACGTGAGCGCTGAGGGCGGCATGAGGCCGATATGGGCTTCGACCGTTAGAGTGCGGCGGGGTGCCGGGCCGGGCGGCCAGGCATGGCCTGCCACCATGCCATGCCGCCATGCCGTGACCGCAGTGGCGGGACGCCGGTGGGAGTTGTCAGGGGCTGCGTGCTGGGGTGGGGCTGGATGTCACGCGCGGGAGGGGTGGGATGCCTCCGGAGGGAGGGCTGGCTGGCTGCCATGCATGGGAGAGCCATGCGTCATTCCTGGGTGGCACCGGCATCTGAACGCCGGTGACGCTGGGTGCGGTGATCTATGCTGAGGGGACAAACGCACGATGCGCCGCTGTGCTGGCGGTACCGAGACCCTTATCTCGTGGATAGAAAGCCTGTGAGCTCTGGTCAGATCGGCGGTTGGGAAACTGCTTCGGAGATGGGCGTGGAGGAGACCCTGGCGCAATCAGTAGAGATGGCGACATTCCTCATCGGTTCTCACGGGAAAGAATGACGCGGCATTTCTGATATCGTTATCGGCAACGACCGATGATTTTTGCCAAAGTTCAATTCGAATGGAGCCGGCAAGTGCCGTTTCAGCCGTATGCTCACTTTTCGTGACTGTTATCTGAGTAACGTGTGGGTGATATCTGACATTTCACTGATGAATGACGGGCATCTGAGTGATTGCTAATGGATGCCTGTCATGTCGTTGACTAGCGCTGCTCGATTACCCGACTGACGTCCGCCCGATGTCTGATATTGCTCGACAGCAACCGTCCGATAACCTAAGACACAGCTGACGTGGCGACATCGGCGGCTCTGTTCACAGAAACGAGAAGTCGCTGGTGACTCTCCGCCTGATGGATCGCGGCCGGCGAGCCAAGGAGGTGGTGTATGGCCGGCCCTACAACCTCCAGGTCAAGGTCTCCAAGCCTGACGGTGAGTGCCCCCCCCCCCCCCCGACCCTGCTCTCCCTCTTCCACCAGCGTGCTCCAGTGAGTCATCCGAGCGCGGCGCCCTAAGCTGCCGTGACGACCGCGGCCTGCCTCGGGGACGAGACGGAACTCGAGGACAAACCAATGGCGCCGCCGCAAGCGCCACCAGCATGGCTCTGTGGGCTCGTCAGTCCAAAGCGCGCTCACAGCGCCGGTCGATGGGCTCGCGTCACGCGCCAATCGACGGCCCTGGCGATCGTAGCATGCATGGCATGACTCCGTCCGAGCTCACCGTGCTCTGACGCCGCAAGGACCGCCGCTGTGCCAATTCCTGCCATACTGACTGCATTTGATGGGAATCTAATGCACGCCACGTCAAGACTTTGTCTTTCGGGTATTGGCGCCTGGCGGAGTCAGCCCGGCGGACTTTATACATCGAGCTACGCGGGGATGGCCCAGTGTCAATAACCTCCCAATCCTCGCTGTCCGTCTTTGCACATCGTTTGAGCGAGCGGTAATGTTTCCAAACCAGGGGTTATTTATGGCCCGTCCCTGCGCCTGATCGTCTAGAGTGAGCCTCCGTTAATTACTCATCGGCCGGCCTGGTGGCTGCCAGCGGCTGGCCGTCGCTCGTTTGTTTTGCGTTGCCGATCGGACGCTCGAAGGTCCTGATCCCATCCGCCTTAGGCCGCCAGTCGTTCTGAGGTTCCGGTCCTGGCCGCCCTCTGGGCCGCCGCTCGGCTCGACGTCCCTGTCCTGATTCTGTCCTGATCATCCGCTGTTTGACGCTCCGACCCATATGGGTTGGGGCCTCGTGATGTTTTCACCACCGGCCGGTCCTCATCCCCGCTCTGACTACGCTCTGGTCCTTCGATAAACCGAAGAAGGGTGCTGCCAAGGTCCCAGAGGCCGGTCCAGCTCCGCGGCCGGAGCTCATGTCGGCCTGCCTCCGCCAGCCTCGACGCCGTGGCCGCCGCTCAGCCGGGGGCTGGGACGCCGCGCAGGACCGGTTCCTCGGGCCGCGCCCCGCTCCCGCCTATGCACCGGCGCCGCGCGTCCGCGATGCAAGGCGGCAGCGGCGGCGGCGGTGGCGGCAGCGGCGGCGGTGGCGGCGGCGGCGTCGGCGGCGGCGGCGGCGGCGGCGGCGGCGGCGGCGGCGGCGGCCAATCTGCGGCTCCAATAGCCGCCGGCCGCGGCGCGCCCGCACGCTGTCCAGAGGTCAGCTGGCGCGCTACGGTTCCGGCTGGGAACGAGGCCTGGGTGGGCCCATGGCACCGCACGAGGCGAGCAGCAGGCCGGCTGTGGCTTGTTAACTGTCTGCAATGGAGAGCGCATTAGGAATATCGCGTAGGCGTAATGTGACAGGCAATGGGTATGATGTGAGAGGCAGCTGTGCAGCTTTCCCCGGGTTTCGAATGCATATTTTGCTGATCTGTAGCAGACATGAGCTGCAGGCCGACCATATTTGCATCAGCAGTGTTGCAAGGCATGATCCTTCGTCAAGGCTATCTACAGGAAGTCAGGCGCTCTTTGGACGCTAACGCTCAACCATGGAGCAGGACTGAAAGAACTGCCCGCACCATGATGGATTTCAAAACCTCCTTCAAATAAATTTTAGGTCTAGATTACATACCATAGCATATTCTCGTCACAGCACAAAATGTGACGGCGACATATTCCTTACGTTTGTAAACTTTGCTAACTTCATCCGAGTTTCCGCCCTTCACATTGTTTTCGTCGCATATTTTGTAAGACACCCTGTTAACTTTACATCCAGTAGGCCAGAGTCACAATGACAAAACTGGACCAAATATTGTACATCAGCCAAAACTTTTGCTTAAGCCATTTACGCTATCCATGTTTTTGACCTAACAAACCAGGTGAAATGAACACCCTTTTGCCGAACCCTCGTAGCCTCGCATAAATCCACGAAATAAATCTGATAAAAACCTGGCGCCTCACCATTTACTTCCGACGCACTCTGTGAGGCCATCAGAACTCGTGTTATGTCGATGACCTTTGATGACCCTGACCGTAGTGGATCTCGCACCTACGGAGCTGGGTATTGGCACGCCGATGGCATTAGTCCGCTGTGGAAGATTAACCAACACCGGTTTGAGGGGATCAGCACGCCTGACGACGAAGATCGGGAGGCCTGGCGCGACATGAAGGGAATCAGGAGGCCTGGCGCGACGAGAAGGGAATCAGGAGGCCTGGCGCGACGTGTTGTCTTGTAAAACACTTGTTAGTCAATGACACTGCTCGGTCATTTCTGCTCACGATATGACAGATTTCGGGTTTACTTCGATCATCATTTTGCTTTTTATCCTAATCATTCAGGTTTGAGCCAATATCACCTTGAACTTAACTTACCTCTGGAAAGAAAGTGTATCGGTGATTTGCATGATATAGCTACTCAACACCCTCATAACCATTGGACAAAAGGGCGTGATGAACAGACGGCCAGGGATGTAGCGTGGAGCAGAGGTTTTCCGTATTGTCGCCTTGGAAACCTTTCAGCATGATGCCATAGACTGGCAAACTGGCATGATAGATCGGTAACGGAAACCCGTGGTCCACACTTACGCGGTCCAACACTCGGCCAGTAAAGTTATATCACGATGTACTAAGAAGTTCATATCGTATCTCTAGTAAGCGCAAAACGTGCACCAGCTGTCCGTCATTGGTGTGGCTAGGGTCAGATCATCTGTCCGCCATTGATGTGGCCGAGGTCAGATCATCTGTCCGCCGTTGATGTGGCTGGGGTTAGGTCGCTGTCCGACGTTAATGCGACTGGGGTTAGATCACCTGTCTGCCACTGAGGCGGCTGGGGCTAGATCACCTGTCCGCCATTGATGTGGCTGGGGTTAGATCGTCTGTCCGACGTTAATGCGACTGGGGTCAGATCACCTATCCACCACTGAGGCGGCTGGGGTCAGATCACCTGTCTGCCACTGAGGCGGCTGGGGTTAGATCCTGTGCTGTTTATCTCGAGTCATTATTATGCTGAAAGCTGTGCTGTGCACTCCTACCAAATACCCGGGCAAACATGGCCGGTCATCGACTCTGTGAGCTATCGTAGCCGGGTGGGCGGTCTCTTTGTGGATAATCTGCCTTCTGCACGGATAGAGCCATCTCCGCCCATCCGTCCGTTCACTCATCGCCATCAAGATGGGCAATTATCGGCCATGATTCTCTGCCAATTAACATGGGTCTGCACTCGCTGTGAGACGGATGGACTGGCTATCGCTCCATCGCGGCACGCCACCGCTCTGCCGGCGGTAGGGCCCCCGGCGGAGCGGGGCAGCGCCGGCTGGCCGCACACGCCGCCCGCCCCCTCCCCGCTCCCGTGAACCGTGAGGACCCCACCGCCGGCGGAGGACCCGGGCCAGATGGAAGGCGAGCCGGACGGAGGAGTCATCGCCGCCGCCCCGTGGCGAGAGGGCGGTCCGTCTGCTGGCTGGGCGACCGGAGGTTTGCTTTCATGAGGTGGCGACGGACGCCAATGACACTCTTTATGCAGCGACGGCCTCGAAGTGGCACCCTGCCCGCACGCGAGCGGCGCCGCTGACCGGAGCGTGGCGGCGACGCCCACCTGCCGCTCCGCACGCCGCAGCACCCCTCGGTCGCCGCGCCTGGTACAGGTCGGCGGCGACCGAGCGTGTGTGCCGGCCGCGTCCAGCCGGCCGGCGGCACGTCTGAACGAGGTCAAGAGCGGCGACCGGCGCTTTCTCTGTGGCGACCGCCGCCCGTCTCTGACGCCGCCGTCCTACGTCTCCCTCGACGACGCACTTTCACTCGGCACGCGCGCCGGACGCCGGCCGCCGACGCAAAAGCGAAAGTGATGGCGCCGGACAGGCTGGCGTACGGCGGCGGGCCGCCCGGCGCTGGGTCGCAAGGTTGCGGCGCGGCAGCGGAGGGAGGCCGGCAGGAGCCGGCGGCGGCGCCGGGGCGCCGCGCGCCGCACCGAGTCCGGTCCCGGCCTGCCACCGGCGCCGCCCGGTTGGCCAACGACGCCGTCCGCCGACGCCGCGGGAGGCGACTGATCGGATTGCAGGCCGTTTCGGCACGAGGAGACGGGGATCGACGGAGAAAGATACCAGGGCGGCAGTCGTGTTACAATGCGTGGAGGACCTGGGCCCCGTCTGATTCCTGTCCCCTGCAGTCCGCCTCAGCAGCATTTTTGAGCCAGATGTTCACTCGTGCCTTTTTCTGCTCGGTTGGCGGCGTGCCAGGCTGGGCTCGGCTTGGAATCTCAATGCCAGCGGCAGGCCGGGTGTGCCCACCTGGCTACGGCAGGTCCTCTCTGGCGAGCAGCCGAGGCCTCGTGACCTCAGCAGCGCCTCTGGCCCTACCTGGCGAGCAACCGAGGGCCTCATGGCCTCAGCAGCGCCCCCTGACGAACAGCCGAGGCCTCGTGACCTCAGCAGCGCCCACTGGCCACGGCAGGCCCTCCCTGACGAGCACCCGAGGGCCTCGTGACCTCAGCGGCGTCCCGGTGGCTCCAGCCTTTGTAACACGTGCTGCTGCGTTGACGTCAGATCGTCAGACTCGATCTCATCGCCTCTTACAGTCGTTCAAAGCCGGAAATGTTGGCGGCGGTATGAGCGGACCACAGGCCCCTCCTGGCTCTAGTGGGCTTAGCCCGGTTCGAAGCAGGAAATGCCAGCGTTGGGCCGAGGAGACTGTCAAGGTCTTCGGGAGACGGCGGCACGGCGATGTGCGAGGGCGATCTAGCGGATCACGACGATGACGATGATGATGATGGGCGGCGGTCTGACGGGTCATGCCGGCTTTCCTTTTTGGAGTGAACAGGCGGTCAGTGAACTGTTTCACAGTCAAACAGCAGCATGTCCAACGTGAAATACGGGTAATATGTGTCTGGTGAATCGGCATCCGTAACCATATTTCACCATTCAAAGCATCCTCGGAATATCGTAGACAGTGTTAAGGGTCAAAGACCAGGCACCACCACATGTCGTTTTGCTCTCGGAGATACGCAGTGGAGGGATTGGGGCTGTGCAAAGCCCGCTGCGCTATCGTTTACCTCATACAGCTGCACATGATGCGAGGAAGCGGACGGCCAGATGCGAGGTGGCACACACTCTTCCTTCCGCCTCTGGGGCTTACGTTCGGTGTCGTGGCTATGGCAGCTCCTGCAGACGTTTTTTTGCAGCCCAACCAAGGAGCCCCTGTCAGACTGTACGACGCCCAGCAAATTAGGGCTCTCCACGGCTAGCGACAGCGGATCCTGTAATCTTTTTGCCCCTTCCTTTCGCGGGGTAGGTGTCATTGAGAAGATTCAAACGTAATTAGGACCGGCCGTTAATCTGTTGTGAGGCCGTTTTTGTGGCATTGTATTCGATAACGTAGGGCGCGGCTTCATCCCATAAAGTTTTCATCTGTCACATGATAGTGGAAAAACGTCTCGTAAATCTTCCCTTTAGGACCTCCCTTTCTCACACGCACAGGACAAACGCCAGACATCTCCGCGAGCATGCGGCTGCCACGTCTCGGTCCATGCATGGGAAGGCGCGGTGTCCTGACCGTCAGCAATGCTGGCGCCGTGCCGCGATGTCATGGAAACCACCCCGCCCTGCGCGCCACACACGCTACCTCGATGTCATGGAAACCACCCCGCCCTGCGCGCCACACACGCTGTCTCGAGGAAACGGCGCCGGCACTTTCCCCCGCTGAGGTCGTCTGCGGCCGGCGGCCCTGGGAACGGCGCTGACGGCGGCGGGAATGCTGGGCCAGACGTGGCCGTTTCCTTAGTTTGAGTGACCACGCAAGCGGACGTTTCATTCTGAACCCGACCGTTAAATCGTGCGGAAAATGGTCGTGACGTCATTCTTGTCGGTTCTGAACTAACGGCCTGTCGATAGCTGAGCCGCGGGAGCCAATATCCCACCTTCCTGGCGTATCAACTCACGCTGGCCCTGATCCGCCGCGTCCATAACGCAGACTCATGTGTGGGTTTGAGCCCTGATCCGCCGCGTCCATAACGCAGACTGATGTGTGGGTTTGAGCCCTCATCCGCCGCGTCCATAACGCAGACTGATATGTGGGTTCGATACGAACCTGGTATTTCCAAAATAATAAAGATGGAGCTTAGCGGAAAACATCAGTCAATTTTCTGGACAAGATCTCACGAATGGCACCAATTTTCATGTTGTTGGATCAATAGTTGACCCTGTTATGGCAGGACAAAGATCAAATTTGCCGGAAAATCGCACTTTGACAGAATTAGAACACCATAACTACGAGACGACGCTTTGTGGCTTGACGAAATTTAAACAGACGTATTTCTTGTTCAATTTTGAGTACAATGGTATATGAGCATACATGTATGATGCTCGTCTCCATGAATATAACAATGTCGGCCCGTCGCGTGCATTCCGCGGCATCGCCGGTTCCCGCCCACCCACACACTCAGGCCGTAGATCGCCGTGTAGTGCTCCTAAAAAAACACCGCCACTCCAAAACCAGAAAAGCCAGAAACACGTGTTTGGTGTTCAAACACGCGCAATAAATACCCCATGGTCATCTGAAAATTGGGACGCGATTGCACAGCATGCCGAAGAGTGATTTTCGGAAAGGCCTTAAAGGGCGCATCATCCCCCCCCCCCACCCCTCTAATAGGATAAGCGTTAGGTTCTGGGTGTCATGACGAATTACGTTGCTGCTAGTGAAATGTTTAACTGTGACAGGCTTTGTAAGGTAGGGCTTTGTAAGGACAGGCTGTTTACATCAGATGATCTGTCCTTGCCATGAAACAAAGGCCTGCCAGTATTAGGTGGACGACGTGGACGTGAACTACGCATACTGTGATTTACCATAGTCCTACTTGAACTTAAAATCAACACGGCTATGCACATATCAGCCTACTCGTAAGCGGTCTAAGTGAGCTCTGTCCGTGCTGATGTGCCTTTTAGAGCAAGCCAATGACAAGATGTGCATACAAATAAATACATGCGGTCGCAGGCGTATGCAGAGAAGCCGAAAATATACTTTCCACGGTACTAGACACGAACGTGCATCGCTTTCACTACATTGTACAATGACATTGTTTTTAACGCCTCACTCGATCCACGCAGCGACGCAACTATCAATTCCCGCTCCACCTCGTGCCCGATTTCTCTCACAACGTAGCGGAGAAACAATAAAGTTCTACGTCGCGCGAGAGGCAGGATGACGAGCATGGTACAAGGTGAGCCGCCGCGCGAGCGATCATGTGGTGTGTCTCCTCTTCCTGCGCACCCGTGTACCTGACATCTGGGATCCCTGTTTTGCAGAATCGCACCAGGTCGGCGTGAGGAACTGCTTCACCTTCAGCACGGAGGACAGCCGGGTGGATCTGATCGACGACCAGGGGTACGTCAGGAG